GGGGGTATTCTCATGTTTTGCATGCCTTAGCGGTTAGACCATTGACCATGGGGGTGGGGGTACTCATGTTTTGCATGCCTTAGCAGGTAGACCAAGGGGTCCTTGAGAAGATTGCGCATAAAGAGAGAGGGTGAGGGGAGAGAGAGAGAGAGAGAGAGAGAGAGAGAGGGAGGGAAGGAGAACAAAACGAGCACAAAGCAAGCCGTGATCAAGAAAGCAAGAACGCAAGCGGACGCCCGGGTGAACGGCCGAAGAATCGAGCTTCGAGGTCAAAAACACGGAGCCACGTGAATCCCTCCACCCCCCTCCACCCCGCAAAGACGACAAGACAAAAACAGACGAGCCCCAGGCCAGGCTTACCTTTTCGTCGCCGCCGGACCCCCAGCCGCCCCAGCCCACCCTGGCCTCCTCACCACACCCGCCGCCGGGGGGTACGGCCTCCCGGGGGCTCTCCACCACCAGACCGGCGTCTTCCGGCGACGCCTGCAGGGCCGCGTCTAGCTCCTTCGACCACGAACGTCTGACCGCCGTAGCCGCCTTGGGGAAGGAGGAGGCGTTGTTGTTGTTGTTGTTGCTCTTGGCGGCACTCTTCGGCTTGCCGGTCTTGTTGTTGTTGTTGGTCTCGTCATCATCGTCGGCGGCGTTGTCGGCACCACCGCCGTCATTGGATGCTTCACAGACCACGGCGGCCGGCCTAAGAACCAGAGTCGAACCACCTCGAAGTGACGGGGCGACGGGAGCAGCGGCGGCAGCGGCAGCGGTGGCACGCCTCAAGAGGAGGCACCGCAGCCCGACCCACTCCCTGGCGGCCAGGTCGAGCTTCCGAGCCTGGACCATCAGCTGGGCCGCTTCCAGGTCCCTCTGGATGAACCGCACCCCCCCTCCGACCGGGTTGCTGTTTGCGCGCCCCCCTCTTGCACCGTCCTCCCCGGAAGAAGGGACTTCTACTGCCAGCGCCGGTGCCGCGAGAGCGGAGGCCGTGGACGTGGTCATTATGGCCAAGGAGGGCCGCGGAGGAGCACATGCTCCTGTTGCCGCCAGCGGCGGTGCCGGAGCTCCCGCCGCCGCCGCTCCGCCTTCTTCGGAACCAGCGCCGCCTTTCCCCCCCGCCGCCGCGGTCGCTAGCGCACCACCGGCGGCAGCCGACGCCTTAGTAGCGGCAGCAGCGGTGGAAGGTGCTGAAGCGGGGAAACCGTTGCTCTCCCCGCAGCCCCCGGTTGCCGTTGCGGAGGGCTTAGCAGCGGCAGTAGCAGGAGAAGCGCCGGCCTTCTTCGTGGGCACGCCGCCGCCAGTAGTCGCCGCCGCTGCGGGCGACCTAGAGCCCTCTTTGCCGGTGTCAGAGGAGGTCTTGGACGACAACAACTCCTTAGTCGTCTTCTTCCCGGAATCACTACTACCCGCCGCCGCAGCCCCCCGCACAACCCCCACAGGCTTCTCGTCCTCCCGGGATGACGCGCCTCGCCCGCTCCCGCCGACGCCGCTCCCGTCGGAACCAGTACCGCCGGCGGCGCCGGCGGCTGAACCGCCGGCCGTGGCGGTAGGGGAGGCCGCCGCGCTTGTCCCGGGAAGGGATGACGCCTCCCCCCCCCCACCCTCCGAAGGTGGTGTTACACCGGCAGCGGTGGCGAAACACAAGGAAAGAGCAGCGGGTGCCGGGCGGCGCCTGACCTTG